CTTCGTCTCTGAGCTGCCAAATGGCTACGATACGCAAATCGGTCAGCGTGGCGGTCTACTTTCTGGTGGACAGAAGCAGCGCGTTGCTATCGCGCGCAGTGTGGTATCCCAGCCGAAAGTGCTCCTCCTGGACGAGGCTACCAGCGCACTTGACCCGCACGCTGAAAGCATCGTTCAACAGGCCCTCGATAAGGCTTCCGTCGGCCGTACCACGATCGTTATTGCTCACAAGCTGGCCACCATCCGCAAGGCCGATAACATTGTCGTCATGACTAAGGGCCGTATCGTGGAGCAGGGCACCCACGAGGCCCTTATTGCTAATGACGATGTTTACGCCAACCTTGTCAAGATCCAGAACCTCGCCGTCACAGACACAGACTCGACCTCGGACACGGAGATTGACGAAGCCAACGCTTCCAAGGGCGAGGACTTGGACGTCTCCAAATCACTGACTCGCTACGCAACATCAGTCCAAGGGCGCATGGAAGATCAGAAGGAACGTGACAACTACGATCACCACAAGCAAAAGGGCGTATTCTACGTCGTAATTCGACTCATGCGCGAATCTCCAGAGGTTTTCTGGGCGTACGTCTTCATGATTTTGGGCTGCGTCGGCGCTGCTGCCGCATTTCCAGGTCAGGCTATCCTTCTGGCTAACGTCATGGAAGTCTTCACATTGACCGGCGATGCCATGAGGAGTCGAGGGTCTTTCTACGCAACCATGTTCATCGTCCTCGCCGCTGGTTGTCTCCTTTCGTACTTCGCCCTTGGATACTCGACCAACGTCGTCGCACAATTTCTCAACCATAAACTGCGAAAGCAAAGCCTTGCCGATATGCTGCGGCAGGATCTGCAGTTTTTCGATCGCACAGAAAACAACACGGGCGCCCTCACTGGCCGCGTCGATTCGAACCCGCAAGCTATTCTCGAGCTCATGGGTTTCAACATCGCCCTCATCCTCGTCGCTGTGATCAACGTCGCGTCTTGCTGCATACTTGCCATTGCGCATGACTGGAACCTCGGTCTCGTTGTCGTCTGCGCTGGTCTGCCCCCTATTCTGACGGCCGGATATCTCAAGATTCGGTTCGACGCGAAGCTTGATCGCGACATGTCGAAGCGTTACGCCAATAGTGCCGCCATTGCCTCCGAGGCTGTCAATGCCATCCGCACAGTGTCGTCCCTCGCCATTGAGGAGTCGGTCCTCCAGAGCTACACTGCCGAGCTCGATTGGGCAGTCGCGGATTCCACTCGTCCCATGTTCATCATGATGGTGTGGTTTGCTTTGACGCAGTCGATTGAGTATTGGTTCATGGCGTTGGGTTTCTGGTACGGCTGCCGTCTGCTGTCCCTCGGCGACATCAGCATGTATGACTTTTTCGTCGCCTTCCTAGGTGTCTTCTTCTCCGGCCAGGCCACCGCCCAGCTATTCCAGTTTTCGACGAGCATCACCAAGGGCATCAATGCAGCCAACTACATTTTCTGGCTCCACGAATTGCAGCCCACGGTTCAAGAAACGCCCGAGAACCACAACAACGGTCCCAGCGCTGGCGGTCCTATCGAGCTCGACAACGTTCGCTTCTCCTATCCTCTTCGTCCGGATGCTCCCGTGCTCAAAGGTGTTGAGATGAACGTAAGTGCCTCCCACCTCTCACCTGAGCAGCTCATCTAACATTCTCAGATTAAACCCGGTCAATTTGTGGCCCTTGTCGGCGCGTCTGGATGCGGCAAGTCCACAATGATCGCCATGCTTGAACGTTTCTACGATCCGACGACCGGCACGATCAAGATTGCTTCCTCTCCACTGCCCACTCTGAACCCAAGGCTCTACCGTCGCCTCGTCGCGCTTGTACAACAAGAGCCGACGCTGTTCCAAGGCACGATCCGCGAGAACATTGCCCTCGGCCTGGACGATGACCCTTCCGATGCCTCGTCAGAGAAGACCGCGGCCGCAGTTCCTGACTCTCGAATTGAGGCAGCCCTCCGCGCAGCCAACGCGTGGACCTTTGTCTCGTCGCTGCCACAGGGCCTCGCCACTCCAGCCGGCGCCAACGGCACGCAGCTGTCGGGTGGTCAGAGGCAGCGCATCGCCATCGCGCGGGCGCTCATTCGTGACCCGGCCATTTTGCTTCTCGACGAGGCGACGAGCGCCCTGGATACGGAGAGCGAGAAGATTGTGCAAGGCGCCCTCGCCGAGGCGGCCAAGGCTGGAGACAGGATCACGGTGGCGGTCGCGCACCGCTTGAGTACTGTCAAGGACGCCGACTGCATTTGTGTATTCTACGGTGGGAGAATCGTAGAGATGGGCACGCATGCTGAGCTGGTGGCCCAGGGAGGCATGTACAGAAAGATGTGTGAGGCGCAGGCGCTGGATTAGGCGTGACTTGTATGGGCAGGTACCTTGTATACGGCGTGACACTTACCCTAATGAATCTGTTGGATGGATATCATAGACATAATACCCAGCAAATCATCCTCATAGTCTTGTCACATTGGCTGCGAGCATGCAAAGCATATGTAGTCAGTGTGTTAATGATCGTCCATGAAACTGCTCCAAACCTGCCGAAACCGTTCCACCCTAATCATCCGTGTGGCGGACCCGGCCTCATCAAGATGCGAAACGAATCGTCACCAAAAGGCCTTCCAGCAAGGCTTACACAGGGGCTCAGAGAGTCAAGAGAATGCGCAGCGCATACCCTTCCTGGGGCACAAACTAAAATATGGCGTGACGAAGCGAAAAGAATACGAAAGAGGCCGCCTGGGATGTATGCAATCTGTCCTTATCCTCCGCCTTCTCACGACATCACCTCCTCGACCCCATCACCATGACCCCCAACCGATCTGTTCCTGTTCAACTGCCTCGCCGCCACAGAGCACCCGTCACTCACCACACGAAGTGGCGAAAGTTGTTCCGCACAAGAGGAGGCGAGGAGCCCGCGGGGCCGGCATCAGGAGGCGCCGGCGCCGCAGGGGCCATAGGTGCTGAGGCGGCCGGGGCGGCCGGGGCGGGAGGCGCGGATGGAGGAGCCGTGTCAGGAAGAGGCGCGGGAATCGCAGGAACGGGCACGGGCTCGCCGGCCGGCTGGGGTGCCGGGGCGTTACCGGGGGCTGGTTCAGGGGCTGGTTCCGGCCCGGGCTGTGGCTGCGGCTGACCTGCGCTGCCGGGCGGGGCGGGTGCGCAGTTGAGGTTGCAGGGCGTCTCGCAGCGGCCGATAAAGTCGGGGGCGTCGTTCTTGCAGCGGCCGTTGCAGGGGCATAGGAGCTCAATGTCTGTGCCGGTGGGCTGGTCGAAGGACTCGCAGAGGCAGACGAAGAGCGAGTCGTCGAGGCGGTTCGAGTCGGGCTGGGCGCTGGCGCAGTCGATGCCGGGGCTGGAGCAGTAGCCTTTGGATACCTGGTCCTGGGTGTAGCCTGCGAGCCGAGTTAGCGATATGGTGCGATTTGAAAAGGTGGGGAAGAGGAGGTACCCTGGGAGCCCTTGAGGACCTTTCCACAGTAGGTGGCGCCGCACACGCATGTTGCGCCATTAGTGGGCGGCGATCCTGTAGTTGCCGAAGAGGGTGGAACAGGAGGGGGAGGGGGAGGGGGAGGAGGGGGTGAGGCTCCGGGTGGCTGTGGGCTTCCTTCGATCACCGTGATGGTCGTCGTCGAGGTGGTTATGGGAGCTGGGAGGATCTGGGGCAAAGGCGGAGCGGGGACCTCCTGCGCTCGAGCAGACGCCAGTTCAAGGAGTGCTGCGAGCGTGAGTATGGATGTGGGCTTCATCTTGCGGTTAAATCCAAGGCGTCGTCGTCTACGTAGAGGCTGGTGGTTATCTGTGAGTGAGCTTGTTCATGGGGCCGGAGCAGATATCGTGTCCGTGCTAAAGAAAAACTGCAAAGGCGCTCATTGCCCTTTTAAGTTGACGAGTAGTCTCCTTCATGATTCAAAGTTGACTCTTCTGTCGACTGCCTCTGTCGATTGCCAAGACGGTATAGCATGGTCTGGTTGTGTACCTTTCTCGGGTTAGTCCAGAGCAAGCAGCAAGCATCCGTGCTAGAGGTAGAGCAGGCAGATATTCCAGTGACACGTTGATGTGATACCCGTATCGGACCTCACTCGGGCCCTCTTCGCGCCACCTTCAGTATGTGTACGACGAGGATGCGTCACGCTTGATAGCAGTGTTGCCGGTACAATCCACTGCTAGCCATGCCCCCCCCCCCCCGGCATTGCAACATATGCCATGCTTGTCTACTTCCTACGACGTCCAGATTCACTCAGAAGAGGGAAAAGATGTGTCATCGGCGACTCGGCGACTCGATGGCTGGCTCGGGCGCTTGCCTCGATGACATATGCCGTGGCCATAGCTGTCATGCCGTGCTTCGAGGTACGCGGCGAGGAACCGTCCGGGTAGATACGAGGACAGCTGAGATGGACATGTCAGTACGTGGATCTTTTTCTCACGCTAAACTCTGGACGATGAAGATCGATATGAGGTCATGAGAAGCTCTTGTGGTCAGAAGCCGCGTTCTTGGTTCAACGTAGGGGAGAATTGTGTAGCGACATGACGGACAAGCATGTATCACCCGATGGCGTCTCTTCGTCAGGGATGGCAATTTGACGTGGGGGCCTCCTCTGCACAGCCGGGTGCCTTCATTCCCTGTTGAGGGAGGGGGCAGGGCAAGGAACTGTGGTTGAGGTTGAGGTTGAGGTTGTCGAAGAGACAGGGTAAGAACAAGGGGTGGAAGCAGAGGATGAGGCAGGGACAGTGCGTAGGGCCAATGCACACCTGGCACTGTGCGACCCCACCACCCCCACCACCCCGCCATGCCGGCCATACCTGCCACGCCACATCTCCCGTCATCCCACTTCTAGTCGAAGGGCTCCGACATTCAGGGTCTTTGCTGTACAGATCCAAGCCTCCCAAGCCCCGACCGTCGCGCAGCCCTCGCTCAAACTCGACGCAGTCCACTCTGTTTGACCTTTGGCACATCGGACACCACACAATCTCCGGTCCGCCCACCATGGCTGCCGCTCCCACCTCCGACAGCGGCAATGGCCCCGCCGCCTCGGCCGCCTCGACCGTTCGTATCGGCACCCGCAGGTCAGCGCTCGCCGTTCGCCAGACCGAGCTGGTGATCGAGGCGCTCAAGCGTATCCGTCCCGACTACACATATGAGATCCACGCCATGCAGACCCTCGGCGACAAGGACCAGGTCACTGCTCTCTACAACTTTGGCGGCAAGGGTCTGTGGACGAACGAGCTCGAGGCCAAGCTCACGAACAACGAGATTGACGTGATCGTTCACAGTCTCAAGGACATGCCCACCGTCCTCCCTGAAGGCTGCATACTTGGCGCCGTCGTCGAGCGCGAGAACCCCCACGATGTCGTCGTCTTCAAAGATACCGTCGCAGACCAGTACAAGTCCATCGCCGACCTCCCCGCCGGCAGCGTTGTCGGCACGAGCAGCATCCGCCGCATCGCACAGCTGAAGCGCAAGTACCCGGGTCTCCAGTTCGCCGACGTCCGCGGCAACATCCAGACCCGTCTCGCCAAGCTCGACAACCCCGACGGCCCCTTCACCGCCATCATCCTCGCCGCCGCCGGACTGCTGCGCATGGACCTCGGCGGCCGCATCGGCCAGTACCTCGCCTCCGACACGGGCGGCATCTTGCACGCCGTAGGCCAGGGTGCCCTCGGCATCGAGGCCCGCACCGACGACAACCGCGTGCTCACATTGCTGCGCGGCATCGAGCACGGCCCCACGCGCCTCGCCGCCGAGGCCGAGCGCAGCGTCATGCGCACCCTCGAGGGCGGCTGCAGCGTGCCCATTGGCGTCGAGACGACCTGGCGCGACGACGGCAAGACGCTGACCCTCAAGGCGTCCGTCACCCACGTCGACGGCACACACGGCGTCGACGGCGAGAGCACGCGCGTCATCGAGTCGCCCGAGGCGGCTGATCAGCTCGGCAGGGACCTTGCCGCCGAGCTTGTTGGTAGGGGGGCGCAGACGATTCTTGATGACATCAACCAGAACCGGCCGGGGGATCAGCCTGCGACGCTCCCCGCGGCGGCTGCATCATAGACTTTTTTTTTTTCTCTCTTTTTTTCTTCTTCACGTCTGCTCTGTTCCACGACTGCCCGTCTCGTGAGTCGAGTTTACTGGCATACCCTGTGAACCCTGTGACGAACTGCATAGCGTACGTAGCTTGCTCAGCGAGCGAGGGATTCCGACGGGACCCTCCTGAGCATATGGACAAAAAAACAAAAGCGTTGATGATGAAGAGCCTGAACAGAATGACACCTAAAAAGCATGAATCTCAATTCCGTTTCTATGTCGCCGGCCCAATGTTAAAAGCCGTAAGACCGTCGGCAGTCCGTATGATACAGCCCGAAGTCTTCCTCCGTGCCGCCATCGCCTCCCTGGTCTGGGAGAGACAGGGGAGGGATATGTTTTGCAAATGAAAAAAAAAGAGCCAGAAAATTCCCCAGGTTGAACTGTACTTGTCGCTTCCGTAACCACCCAACGCGCGCGCACACATATACGCTATCATGCCCTTATCTCTACCAGGTCAAAGGACATATTAGTGCTCGCCGCCGACAAACGCCTTGTAGGCCTCGGCATCCATGAGGCTCTCGAGGTCCTTGACGCCCTGCTCGTCGACCTCCACGCGGGCCAGCCAGCCGCCGCCGTGCGAGTCGTCCTCGGGCACCTTGTTGATAGTGCCGGGCTTCTCCTCGAGGTCAATGTTGACCTGGACGACCTTGCAGCTGACGGGGGCGTTGATGTCGGCGGCGCTCTTGACAGACTCGACGGCGCCAATGGCGTCGCCCTGGGCGACGGTCGCGCCCTCCTCGGGGAGCTCGACGAAGACGACGTCGCCGAGAGCCTCGGCGGCGTACTCAGAGATGCCGATGACGCCCGTCTTGTTGTCGGCCGCGAGGTCGATCCACTCGTGGTCCTTGGTGTACTTGCGGATGAGAGCTGATCAATTAGCACGAGGAAAGACAGGAAGGGAAGGGGGTAGGAGGTGACGCAGGGGAGCACGTACCGGCAGGTGTCGTCGCAAAGGTCCTCTGCGCAGGGCGGGCCATGACGGAGCGGGCAGCGGGCTTGACGACGGCCGACAGGACCGAGGGGCGGGCAGCCCTGACGCAGCGAGCAATTGAGGCCATTGTAGCGATGTCGAAAATGTGTGAAAGGCGCGGGGAGGGGGGCGAGTCTGGCGATATCGTGGGATGATGTAGGAGTTAGACGACACTCAAAGCGGGAACCTGGGGCGGGAAGGAGGAGCTCTCGTTCCTACTGCCATGATAATGGCTTGACTCTTTTGCTTGCTCTCGGCACACATCGGCCAACCTGAGGTGGAGCTGCTACGCCGTCATTGGCTGCTGCAGGGTTTGGGCCGGCTTAGTAAGGTCGGAGCACGGTCGGACCGGGGCACCGACTGCGGGGGGTTCGAGGCCCAATGGGAGCCCTGAAGCTGCCCCGCGTTCGTGGCCGGTCCTCAGAAGGGGTCATGCCCTGGAACAAACGAGGAGTGCTGGTGATGTGTTCTGGGCTGATTGAGATTCATGCTCTGGGCGGAGCCTCGGGCTAGTGTGACAATACGATAGCGAGCCGAACAGTCTGCGATCGAGATCAAGCAGACATGCATTTTGGGACGAGCTTCAATGCCATGAGGTTTCTTGGATTGGTGTCGTGTCACATGCATCTTGGATTGGCTCAACGTGGTCCGTATTGGCCCTACCTAACAAGGTACGAGTACTATTCTTGCAGTGCTACATATACGTGCGTTGTCACTGTTTACATGGTCAAATTCGGCACTGAGGTAAACACACAAAACCATGTTGCGCTTTGCTTGTGAAATGGCGAGGTGCAGGCAGAGGCGCTACTAGGGGCCCCTTCATCAATCATTATGTTTCTGACAACCTTTCAATACGAATAGGAACCAAGGCGGATGACATTCACAAGAGAAACAACTCTCGTCGGAGCACTCTCCGACTCCACTGCTGCTGTAGAATGGTTGCTTCTCCCATCGAAGTGAGCCAGTGTCGCACGCGTCGCGTCTCAACCCGCTACATGCATCGCCCTATCACTAGCATGTCATATTTCGTCATTTGCAGCCCTCTGGCCCCTGGTCCTAGCATTCAGCTGGTTCACCCCCTGCAAATCGGGTGCTGGATCTGCCTCAAGCGCCTAAAACAGGTGCGCTGGCGCCCCCTAACACGCCCTAAACCTCGCCGCCGCCGAAGTCTCGGTGTCCTGTCAGCCAGTGAAACCCTCTTGGTTGGGCACCCTGACCTGTTGCATTGCGACTCGACTCCCCTTTTGCGACATCCACATCCCACAATTGCATCCAGGTGCTTGGTGCTGCTCCTCCTCGTCCTCCCCCCCCTCCTACATCCATTCCATCCCATTCACTTTAGGCCCCCCCTGTCTTCCCTTTCGTTCCTGGCCCTGGTTCAACTTGTCGTTCCCTTATTACTTGTGTCTTTGCATCCTTCTGAACTCGAAGACGACGCTTGGCCCAACTCGACCAAAGTGGCCAGAACCTCTCTCTCGATCTTGAACCTCACCGATTCCGACGTTCGAAATAACCCACCCAACTGGACTCGACCCATCCCACGATAACAAAAACGGGCGCCAACCATAATCCCAACAAGACCTCGTTACTGTTGCTCGTGCTGTGCAACGTGAGAAGTCCCGCTAGGCCATGGCTAGCTCTGCCCCTTCCCCTGCGCTCCCTCCCATCGTCATCCGCTGACAAGCCCAGCCTGACCAGCACCCACCGACTACGTCTAGCACTACTTCTTTCGACGGCACGCATCAGTGTTGCTTGACACACCCACCCCGGCTTCCCATCATCCCCTCCCAGCTGGCATCTCCCATGAAGCCCTCATCGGACAAGGCCTGATCTCCGCCACGCTCTTCCTCCCACCGACACGCGAACTCCCCCCTCCCCCTTCTAAATCCCCCGTCATTCCTTTTCGCTCTAGGCACGTACCCGGAGCCCACCACACCACCACCCCTCCCCCTTCGTTTGTCCGTCAGCCTAGGGGACCATTCCGTTCCAGCCTCACCCTCCTTCCTCAACCTTCGACACTCCGACAAAATTGCCCACCGTGGATTCGTCAACGCTATCAGCGGGGTCTCCGGCCCAGTTCCACGACGCTGTCGACATGATGGAGTCTCACGATCAGCCGCCCCAGGACGTCCTCCTCCACCACCATGCCGACGACACACTCGGCGGCATCGACGGCTCGCCGCGTGTCGACTCACCCTCCCAGAACAATGGCATCAGCCGGCCCGATAGCCGACTCCGACATGGCCAGAGCCAGTCCCTCGACCACGGCATCTCCTCCCATTCCCCACACCCAGAAGAGGCAGCCGCCCATCAAGACGAATATCATCAGCGCTACACAAACACCCCTCCAATCCCCGCAGCTCCTGCCGCCTCCATCTCCCGCCCTGCGTCAGGCCTCTCGGGCGCCGGCGCCGCCACCAATAACAGCAATAATGCGCCGCAACAGCAACAACAATATGGAGGCAGCGAGCACGGATCACGAGGGGGCAGCGGCCAGAGCGCCGAGGCAGCCGCCAGCAATGCAGCCGCCAACGGCCGAAACCACGTCGTAATAAAGGTCGGCATGGTGGGTGACGCACAGATCGGCAAGACGAGCTTGATGGTCAAGTACGTCGAGGGCAGCTGGGACGAGGACTACATCCAGACACTGGGTGTCAACTTTATGGAGAAGACAATCTCCATCCGCAACACGGAAATCACTTTCTCCATCTGGGACTTGGGCGGCCAGCGCGAGTTCGTCAACATGCTGCCGCTCGTATGCAACGACGCCGTCGCCATTCTGTTCATGTTCGACTTGACGCGAAAGAGCACACTCAACAGCATCAAGGAGTGGTACCGACAGGGACGTGGGTTCAACAAGACGGCCATTCCCATTCTCGTGGGCACCAAGTACGACCACTTTGTCAACTTTCCCAGGGAAGACCAGGAGGAAATCTCCAACCAGGTGCGTTGACTGCACCCTCCGTATCGAAGGCCGTTACTAATGAGTCGTCCCCAGGCTCGTCGCTTTGCCAAGGCAATGCGCGCCGCCCTCATCTTCAGCAGCACAAGCCACAGCATCAACGTGCAAAAGGTGCGTCCTGCCGCCTACCGCGAGCCCTCTACCTTCACTAGCTGTGACGCTAACCCCTCCACCTCAGATCTTCAAGATTGTGCTGTCCAAAGCCTTCGATCTCAAATGCACGATTCCTGAGATCGAGAACGTCGGCGAACCCCTCCTGCTCTACCAAAGCTGCTGATCGCCAAGGGGAGCTGCCGACTTCCCGCGATCAGCCAGCTACGCCGCTAGCTACAACCCGCCGATGCTTGCCTCCAAATCGCATGCACACGGATCATGACCACGCCCGCCAATCACGGCGTTTTACGAAGAATCATCGCTGCCGGGCTCCGCCACCCGGTTTTGGCATGCCTTCACCCGCGTTCAACGGTAACTGCAGGTACTCTACCACGCCATACAACGGCCGGACCGGACTTCGTTTACCAGAATCAAAAACCACCACCATTACAACCACCAGGGGCTCAACCACCCTGCACCATTTCCTTTGTTCACAAATCGCCGCGCGCCCCCAGAATACAGAGCTTATAGTGTTTAAGTCGCAATCCGCAGGCCCCAGAGGCCACACTTTGCAATTATTGGCAGGAAAGGCCGGTAGGCAGCATGCATTGAGGCAGGAGGGCGAACAAAGCATGGGAATGATACGCTCCAGGAAGAAGAAGAGGGAGCAGGAAAACAGAAGAGGAATTCTCGTTCGGACGGACACCTCTTTTTTCCGTCGGTTCGTCTTTGTTTGTTGCTGGTGGACAGCAAAACCGCCTGTGTATATTTTTTTCGTACGGCCAGCTCCTGCCGATGAGCGAGGAGAACGAAATCTTGCTGATGCTTTTGTGCTGCCGGGTTCTTGAACTGTGTTTTGTCGCGAGATGCGCGAGGTGCCCTGAAGACTAGTTGGAGAGTTGCTGCTCTAGACGCGTCTTCGCTGGGAGCAGGCCTGAGCTCAGCTAGGTGTGTTCACCACGGTTGACGACGCTTCTGGGCATTGTTGCTGTGCATTGCGACATGCTTAACGGACCGTTGTTAAATGCCTTTGCAATCTTACAACGGGACGAACAGCAGTGAGCAATGGGGATCCATTGGTTTCATGGCTGAACGTAGGCATCATAGTCAACTTTTGCCTCTTCTGATGTGACTCACCTCTGGATGGGAAAAGGAACCCCCATTGGGATTGGGCCATATTCCACATCTAATACACCTGGGAAAAGTGGCTGACACACGTTAAAAGGTAGAGTTCGTATAGATACCCTGACAGCCCCTTTCGCTAGTACTGGAAAACCGAACACCTCCATCATCAAGTCGTTATCCGTGACAAAACTGGAATCCAATAGTTCATGACCCGTCATCATGTTTCACCACGCTTGGTTGTTCTAGCAATGCACTTAGACAGCTACAGAAAGGTCTAGCATCTAAGAATGTTGATAGCTCCCTACTTCGCCCCCTCTAGCAGCACAGACCCCTCCGAAAAGCCCTTGCAAAGCTTCTCCGCCACGCAATTTTTCACGTGGCAGAGATGCGGTCATCTTCAATATCGTGAACCTGCCCCTTCTCCGATCGCTTCACCATCCCGGGGTCCGGCGCATGGTGTGCCTCGGGGGAGATGACAGCAGGCGCGACGACGACAGCCGGGCGTTCCACCCCAGGTCCGGCAACGGGCGGCTTCCTCACGACACGGGCGGGACTCTCGTGACGTTCGGGGATCGAAGATAGCCTCGTCGATAGGGGGCTGCCTATCTCCGACGACCGTGAGCCTGACGACCGCACCGACCTGGCCGACCGCGGCGGCATTGTACTACTCATCGACGGAAAGGCCAGGGGCGACAGCGTGCTTCCTGATCGTGAACGAACGTGAACCGGCGCAGAGGGTGGATTCGCGCAGCAGCTTGACGGGGGCCGGCACGCGAAGGCGCTGAGGCAGATCCAGAAGAGCCAGCAGAGAAAGGCCCAGAAGCCACGGCGGTGGGCGTACTTCTGGACCCGGGCGTCAATGTGGACGGGGACGCAGAAGCATACTGTACCACCATGAGAACGAGAATGTCGTTGGTCGTGGGCAGGAAAGTTTCGGACTCACGGTAGCTGTGGGTTGCTTTGCGCCTCGACGAGGAGGTTGGCCTGGCTTTTTCCCGGCTGTATTGGCGCGAGCTGCCTCGCTCGAGGTCCGGAACGGCTCTGTTTGGGTCGGCAGCCATGTAGAAATCATACAGATGGCTGATTGCGTCGTTTTCACTCATACGGACGCTGCTGTTCATCCTAATATCGCGGGTCTTGTTGAGGAAGCATAATGCTGGGATCAACAGTATATCTGACGAACTCAGGTACCATACATACAAGTACTGCAGACACTGTAAAGGATCACCTGGCTCATTGTCTGATCCTCTGATGAAGGCAAGTATTATGAGGCCGGGGTGGAAGGTGCAACGGGTGTCCTCTCAGAGAAGGAGTGATGCTCAGATTGTGAGAACCGGCAATCACCTTGGTGTCCACTTTCGAAAGCCAGGTTTGAAGCTACACAATCGCCAAGCTGGTATGTTCGATAGGGAAGAGACTAAAGTCCTTTGTGTTCGATCATGACGCAACACGTTGGAGTCAGCTCAGTTTTTGGTACAGAGCTGCCGGAGGCTGCTGGCTCATCATATTCGCGTATTGTAAGAGAGCATTGAAATCAAAATGCTCTGCTGCTCACCTTACATAGGTACCCGGGTACATGGTAGGCAGGTAGCTGGTTATCAAGGCGCAGGGACGACTCAAACCAGGTCGAAGCTGTGAACGTCAGAGGCGGGGTCTCCTTCCGCCCCACCTGCTCATTGCACCTGCCTATCGGCTGGTTCCAGCTCCTTCCGCCGCACGCCGATGCGGCTCAGTATACCTGCCTGGAGCTCTGATTTGACCCCACCAACCAACGATAGGCCTCGAATCGACCTGACGAACGCCGCCTACAGTTCCTCCCTCCCAGCAAACCGAAAGCTCAAAAGATATCCTGCTCCACGACCCTTCAGTAACTACAACTCGATTAGCCAGTATCAGCAAGCCCGTCCTCCGCATGGTCCTATCGACAGACGGAGAGCCCTCTCTTTGACCCTGCGAACCCGATCCCCTCCCCACCGTGGTTCCGCCTCACCCCGCCTTCGCCGCCATGACGACCACGGTGAACGCGACGCCCCAGGCGGTCATGTCGCTGGTCACGAAGCTGTCGGAATCAGACCCTGACTATCGCTTCATGGCCCTGAATGATCTGATTGCTCTTTTCGAGAAAGGAAAACCCGACTTTCTCCACCATGACTACAATGTTGCTGCCCGCACTGTCGACAGCATCATCAGGACTCTAGATGACCAGAACGGCGAGGTCCAGAACCTGGCGATCAAATCGTGAGAACTGCCCGCTCCTTCCCCTTCACTCGTGGTGAGACTTCTGGCTAATCACAAGTGTCCAGTCTCGGCCCGCTCGTTACCAGAGTGCCTTCCAACATTATCGCCCCCATGCTCGAGAAGCTCTCGTCGATAAAGCTTAGAAACTCTGTCGACAATGCGGTTCCGTCGCTGGCCCTCCGGGCCGCCATCATGTCGCTGCCCCGCCCAACACCCGGTGTGCCTGTCACAAGGGATGTCCAGGAAGCATACACAGCCGTCAGCCGCGTCCTGATACCCCGCATGGTCGGTCCCGGCAAGCTTCAGCCCTCACAATCCAAGGTTCCTCTCCCGAACATGCCGGAAGGCATTCTGCAGAGCGACGCGGACCTGAATGCTGAGTCGGTAGACGTGCTTATTGAGATTGTGAGATCGTTCGGTCCAATGCTCCTGCCCGCCGAAATCGACGCCATGCAGGACACAGTCATCAGCATTCTCGAGCACGACCGCGGCTCATCCGTGGTCAAGAAGAGGGCCGTGGTGGCTGTGTCCATCCTCGCGTCACATCTGTCGGAGCAGCTTCTCGAGCAGATGGTCTCTAGGATGGCCGCTGTTCTAGCGAAGCCCGACATCTCCGCCGTCACCCGCCGATTGTACATCACCATCAGCGGCTCGGTCGCTCGTTCGACCCCCCACCGCTTTGGACCACACTTGCAAACCCTCGCACCGTTCCTGTTTAAGGCCCTGGGCGAGGAGGAGCTCGCCGAGCACCTCGAGGCCATCAGCGATGGCGACGACTTGGGCCAGGACTTTAACGATGTCCGAGAGGCTGCGCTGACCGCCTTGGAAGCCTTCCTTGCCTCATGCCCGGCCCAGATGGAGGCTTTTACAAATGAAACGATAACCGCCACTCTTCGCTTCCTCCGATATGATCCCAACTCGGCTGTGGATGATGACGAAGAAGAGATGGATGTTGATGAGGAAGATGATTTTGAAGACGAAGAAGACTTTGACATGGGAGGTGAGTTTGACGATGATGACGATGCCAGCTGGAAGGTGCGTCGGTGCGCAGCAAAGGCTTTGTACACCTTCATCTCCACCAGAGGCAGCGGAGAGCTCCTCGAGAAGGGGGTCCTGTACCAAAGAGCCGGAAACGTATTGGTCAAGAGATTTGAGGAGCGCGAGGAAAATGTGCGCCTCGAGATCATTAGCTGTTTGGCCCTCCTCGTGCGTAAGACGGGTGAGGATCTCTACCCAGGTTCTGCCTGGAACCTCGACAACCCCGATGACGAAGCCCCTAGCCAAGCCCCCATCAACAGGAAACGGAGACGACAAAGCAGTGTGGCCGAACCCGGCGCCGCGTCTCCGGTGCTCGAAAAGGCCCCTGCCACTGGACCTCGTGCCGACCTCGTTCGCCTCACTCCCAGTATTGTGAAGGCATCAAACAAGCTTCTCAAGGGCAAGGTCATTTCGACCAAGCAGGCCATTTTCAGCCTGTTTGACGATATTGTCAAGGTACAGCGTGGAGGTCTGTCTGATTACTTTGGTGATATCATGGGGCCTACCATTGAAGCGGTCAAGTCCACTGGTTCCGCCGGCTTCTCATCTTCCCTGGCAGCAGCTGGAGGCAGCGCATCCGCCACACCGGGAACTCTCCGCGTTGCTTCCCTTCGGCTCGTCAGTGATATCGCCAAGACGCATTCTTCTAGCGTTCTGCAGCCATACCTGCCTCAGCTCGTTGCCGCTGTTGTTGCCGCTGTCAACGATCGCTTCTACAAAATTTCGTGCGAGGCCATGAGGACTGTGGAAGAACTCGTGAGGAACATCACCCCTCCACGTTCTGGAGTCAATGCGCAAAAGTTCAAGTCGGAGCTTCAGAGCCTGTATGATATTATTTTCAATCGCATTACACAGGCTGGAGTCGACACGGAGGTCCGCCAGCGGGCTATTCAAGCTCTTGGTGTGCTGCTGGCGCGCACCATCAGCTCAGAGGGCTCAAGCCTCATCCCGGCCGAGAAGCGACGGGCGGCAATGGACGTGCTGGCTGACAGGGTCAAGAGCGAGACGACGAGGCTCGCAAGCGTTCGCGCCATCGACACCATCGCTTCCTACACAACAAGCCCGGGTCAACTCGAGAAGTCATGGATCCAAGACGTCGCGCTGGAGCTCGCGGCACAGCTCCGAAAATCCAACCGAGCCCTGCGCACTTCTAGTATTCAGGGTCTGAAGCATCTCGTTTCGTCTCCCACGAGCAAAGGCCAACTGGAGCCCGAGACGATCAAGGGTCTGGTCTCTTCGCTCGGCTCCGTTGTCAGCAACAACGATACCCACCTCCTAGCACCGGCACTTCTCGTGCTGGCGCAACTGGTCGAAGAGAATGCAGCGTTGGTCATGACACCCGAAATGACGAACACGCTCTGCGAGCTGCTTAAGTCTGCGTACGCGAGCATTGCATTGGACCAGCTCCTGATCCTCGTGAACAAGGTCGGCGAGAGCGGCACCGGACAGCCACTGATGAACGGTCTATTGCAAACGGTTAGTATCGAGGGCGACCCCGTCGTGGTTGGCAAGGTCATCGGCACCCTGCTCGTGGCTAGTGGCAAATCGACAGGGGTGACGCTTGACAGCTTCATCTCGGAGCTTCAGACCAGCTCGCAGACCAAAGACGATGCGCGCGTCAGCCTCGCGCTGGCCGTGCTGGGCGAGGCAGGCCTGCGCCTCGGGGCCAAGTCGCCTCTGCAGCCAGACCTGTTCCTGAAGCAGTTCCATGGCGAGCCCGACAACGTGTCGATGGCCGCTGCCGTGGCTCTCGGTCGCGCCGGCTCGGGCCATGTCGCACAGTACCTGCCGGTCATTCTGGAGACGATGAAGAAGGGCGGCAACACGCAGTATCTGCTGATCCAGTCGATCAAGGAGATTCTCCACCTGATCACGGCGCAGTCGGTGGACATTCGACAGTACGCTGAGCCCATCTGGCAGCAGCTCTTGGCAGCCTCGACAAACCCGGAGAACACGGTCGTGTGCGCAGAGTGCGTGGGCAGGCTGGTCATTGTCGACCCCAAGACGTACATGCCGGCGCTGCAGGTGAGTACATGGCGAATCACACGAGATAGATGTCCAAAGCTGACTAACGTGACACAGTCGCTCCTCAAGGACAGCTCATCGGGTGTTCGCGGCATGGCGGTGCAGGCGGTGCGGTATACGCTGCCCGACAGTGACGACGCGCTCGACGCCATGTTCCGGGACGTGCTCCTGGAGATGCTGCTGACGATGCTGGACGACGCCAAGATGGACAACCGGCGGCTGGCCATGTCGACGCTCAACTCGGCGGCGCACAACAAGCCGGACCTCATCCTGCCGCACCTGGGGCAGCTGATGCCGTTTGTGCTGGTCGAGTCCAAGGTCAAGCCGGAGCTGATCCGCGAGGTGCAGATGGGGCCGTTCAAGCACTACGTGGACGACGGGATCGAGGTGCGCAAGAGCGCGTACGAGATGCTGTACGCTCTTATGGAGACGGCGTACGCGCGGATCAACAAGCTCGACCTCTACGACCGGATCGTTGCGGGACTCAAGGACGACAATGACATTCGGGCGCTGTGCAACCTCATGGTGACGAAGCTCGTGGTCATGGACCCCGAAGAGACGACGCGGCGGCTCGACGCGCTGGCCGAGGCGTACCGCGGGGTGCTCGCGACGAAGCTCAAGGAGGGGTCGGTCAAGCAGGAGGTGGAGAAGCAGCAAGAGGCCAACCGCAGCGTGCTCCGGGTGACGCTGCTGCTCGCCGACCGGATCACGCGGGCGACGGGCGGGGGCGTGTCGACGGCGACGGCGATGGCGACGGCGACAACACCAGCAGGAGGCCAGGGTGCGTCGGGCACGGGTTCGAGCGCGACGTGGGACGCATACTGGGAGTGGGTCAACAAGGACTTTCAGCCTCAGTTGAAGCAGCTGCGGGAGGAGAGCGAGCTGCACCGGGCGAAGCACGTGTGAGCAGGCTGGCAGGCTGGCAGGTACTCAGGCACTGAGGCACGCGAATGGACAAAAGAAAGGAATGGACGAAGAATGACTACACTATGACCCATGTTGGCCAGCTCGGTGTTGCGTGCGTGACAGGTTGACCGCCGGCCAAGGCAGCATGAGCGTCTGCGAGCAGAGATGGTCGAAGGAAGGGATCAGGCTCGTCTGAGGATGTTCACGTAGGTACAGCATGTCCACGTAGGTACCTTAAAAAGGCACATACATGTACTCTGTCGCCCGTCTCAGTGGTGGGTGGTGGGTGTCGGGGCTCGGGCGAGGACAGATGATTGGCTTGCGTGGAGTGGACCCCGGTCAGGGACGAAGTGGGGTTCAGGGTCTCTCTTGCCTCTGGCGTCTGGGTCGGGGTCGAGGCCTGGGCCCTGGCGGAAGCAGGCAGGCAGGCACGACCAGCGACGGAAAGACAGCGAGAGGAAGGCGCATGAAGGAGGGAGACAAGGAGGCAAGGTACAAGTAACGAAGTACAAGTAAGAAGTACAAGTAAGAAGTACAAGTAAGAAGTACAAGTAAGAAGTACAAGTAAGAAGTACAAGTAAGAAGTACAAGTAAGAAGTACAAGTAAGAAGTACAAGTAAGAAGTACAAGTAAGAAGTACAAGTAAGAAGTACAAGTAACGAAGTACAGAACACGCCAGCGGCCACGCCACTGCATCCCCAGACGTCTGCCTGTCAACCTTGCTGAGGCTGCAGGCTGTTCTCTTCTTCCTCTGCCCCTCTGCCCTGCCTCAGCGAGAAGCCACCTGGGCATCCATTCCTGTCCTTCAATCCATCAGGCACGAGACCCTCCGGAGATCCTCACGAGCGATTGCTCTTCTCAAACCATCCTCTGCCATCTCGGACATCACACGCAACGGCCCGCCACCATGAGCATGCCAGGCTCCTTCAGCCCCCATGCTCCCTCGAGCCCCAAGATGGCCCCAACCGCCGCTGCGTCGTCTGCCTCTGCGGGCGATGTCAAGAAGCCGGATGCCTTTCTGACGCCGCCTCTTCGCCTCGGCGAGTCTTCCGATGCCTATTCCCTCCACAGCACCAACGCCAATGCACCTGGCCGATTCTACGACGACGACCCCGCCGAGTTGCCTGGGAGTGGCGGCGACGATGACGACCTGCCGCCTCTATACACCGACGAGCCTTCGGCCGACGGCGTCCGCGATCCTCTGCTCCAGATCCAGGACCTGCACAGCAAGCAGCACGGCCTCGTGCCGCCCCATCTCGTCGTGCCCGACACGGGCAACGAGTACCACATCGACCGCCGCCTCGACGCCGACCCCTCGTTCCTCCAACGCCACATCGAGGCCTGCGCCGAGATACCGCCCCGTGCCTTTGTACGCCTGCGCGGCACCCACACCGAGCCCGTCCGCCGCGGCGACAAGACGGAGCGCCAGACGCACGTTGACTTTGACGTCCGCCTCGAGCTGACGCCCTTTCTCTACAGCGACATTGCCACGCACACGAGCTGGCGCACCCTGCGCACCGCCGACAACTTTGCCAAGGTCCGCCGCGGCACCGTCTTCGCCACGCGCGCCCCGGGTTTCGGCGGCGCCCGCGCTCCCGGCGGCGTCGTCACGGCCCTCGAGGCCGGCCGCCCCGGCCTCGCTGAGTGGTGCCACCGCTACTGCGCCAGCCACGCCGGCCTCAAGACGTTCCAGCTGCGCCGCGAGGTGACGGGCTGGAACGAGGACCTCGTCCGGTCCAAGCTCGAGACGCTCGTCCGCGCCACCGGCTACCAGGGCCACGTCGCCGTCACCTTTCCCCTGCAGGGCGAGACGGTCACCGTCTTCAACGACGCCGCCACGAACCGCTGGCGCCTGCTGCGCTGGGTCCGCGTCCTCTGCGTCCTCACCCTCACCATCCTCCTCGCCTGGCCCTGGCTCTTCTTCCGCACCGCCCGCTTCGAGGTCACCGTCGTCGAGTGGCCTCTGAGCCGCCGCCGTGAAGGCACCGCCGGCCGTCGCGACTACGTCAGCCTCAGCGAGGAGCAGTGGTACAACATGTGGGCCCGCGCCGTCCGCCGCGCCGTCCTCGAGCGCAGGCAGGGCACCCTCGACCAGGGCGACCTCGTCGCCGCCGAGGGCGCCCAGGGCGCCACCTTTGAGGGCCAGACCGAGGCGCAGGCCGTCGTCGGCAACGCCGTCGGCAATTTCGTGCGCGCCGGCGTCAGCGCCATGAATGCGGTCAATGTGCGGTTCGGCTGGGGCGGCGACCACTGAGCTGCGCATGGCATGTTGCACGACATGTTGCACGTCATGTTGCTCGTTTACGTTGCTCGTTCACGTTGCTTGGGTTGCTTGGTTGCTGGGTTGCTGGGTCGCTTGGTTGCTGGGTTGCTGGGTTGCTGGGTTGCTGGGTTGCTTGATTGCTTAGGATGCTTGGGTTCGCATAGCTTTTCGGGTCTGCGTTGGATTTTCGGTCATAAAATACCCTCCTTTTGGTTTGCCTGGCATGGCTGGTATCTCATCAGAATGAATGATTATACGATATCTTTACCTTGTGTCTTCGTCGTTGACGCGCAGCAAGGGATGTGCTGTACTGGCATGTTCGCCTTTGCCTTTGTCGCTTCATCCCCTCGTCATTCGGGCTTGCTAGGCCTAGATGGAACCGGTGAGGAAACGTGGGAAATCATCTCCTGCATCAGGGCTACAGTTTCATGCCACTAACAATTCTTCGGAGGGGCTACATGTGAATGTGAACGAGATTGGGTCTTTCCACGGCTGATGTCTAGTTCGTCGCCTCGACCGGTGGTTCGTATGGCTTTGTTCCTTGTCATTATCTCGTCTAGAAGATACTATCTGATACATTATCTGACATTATCTAACATTATCTGATGTTATGTAAAAGCACATCCAATATCCTGGCTTCGTGCCGTCACTCATGCTCTCGGAGGTGACCTCATCGGAGCCTCGAGCGCCTTGTTGCACCTCACCATCAGGCCTCGGTGAGATGGACCCCACCACCCCACCACACACCGAACGCACTCACCTCAACATCTCACCAAGTTGCTGCCTCTCAACCACCTCCCCGGCCACGATCACATCCTCATCAGCCAAACACCAAGCCTGGCAGCACAGTACGACAGGCAGCACATCATGGCCATGGAGATCGCCAACCCGAAACGGATCCTCGCCCTCGCGGCCCACGACCGCCAAGACGACCTCGCACGCTTCCTCGGCGCCCTGACGGGCACGACGCCGGAGCCCTCGACCGCCGCGTCGGCGACGCCCTCGCTCGCCGGCACCTCGCACGTCCTGCCGCTGACGACGTCCTACTACACGGCCACGGTCCCCGTCTGGCTCGACCTCGTCGCCGACGCCACCGCCACCGCCATCGACACGGACGGCGCCGACGCCGACGCCGACGAGGACTGGGCCGCCACGTTCCTGGCGCCCGAGGCCCGCGAGGTCCTCGACGCGCTCGGCGGCGTCGTCGTCGTGCTGCCTGTGGCGCGCGGCGTCGCGGCTGCGCGGGGGCTCGTCGAGCAGGTCGGTCGCGTCGTCCGGGAGGGCCTCGGGGGGTGGGGGTGGGACGGGGTCGGGCTCGCTGTCGGTGTCGGTGCCGGCGGCGGGCGGGCCGAGGGGGAGGAGGAGGAGGCGGCGGAGCAGGGCGAGTGGGAGGACCTGTGCGGCGCCGCGGGGTTGGAGTTTGTGCGGGTGCGCGGGGTCGAGGAGGACAAGGGGAAGAACGAGTATGGGGGTGAGTTTTCCATTCTGCTGCTGCCGCGTTGCTTTCTTCCTCTCCCGTCTCCATCTTCTGCGTCTTCCTCTCTGCTCCTGCACTTTGGCCGTGCCGTGACTGACTCGGTAGCAGAAAAAATGGGCATCCACAGAGTCCTCGAAGCGCTCGAGGCCAACGACTGGGACCAGGGCGACATACCCTCCGACCTCGAGGACGAGCTTGGCGGCCTCGAGGACGGCAGAGACGACCCCGAGAGCCTCGATTTCGGCGTCGACAGGGCCGACTTTGAGGGTCTGCGGCAGGCGATATGGGGCCTCGACACGGAGCCGAGGGCCGAGGGCGACGGCGGGGCCAGGGGCAGCGGTGCGCAGGCCGAGCCGTTGGACGAGGCGGCCGAGGTCGAGAAGCTGGAGAGCATGATGCGCAAGCTGCAGGCCGTGCGGGACATGAGCGCCGGCTTGCCGGAGGAGCAGCGGAAGAAGATGGCGGCCAAGGCCGTGAACGAGGTGATGAAGGATCTGTAGGCACTGCGCATATGCGCACTCTGTAGCGAACGTGTGGCGCCTCTGGTCTGTGTTCACGCTCTGCTCGTGAGCCCGGTCCTTTCCTCTGCCATATGCCTGTCTCGACTGTCCATGTGGTCATAGCCCGCGCCTGAAGCTCTTCTTCTTCTTCTTGCTCTTCTTCTTGCTCTTCTTCTTGCTCTTCTTCTTGCTCTTCTTCTTGCTCTTCTTGCTCTTCTTGGGCTACGACGGCATACGAGTCCTCCGCCTCGTCTGATGTAACTGGGGTTCAGCCTGCGTGTATGCGAACTCGGCGTCTCTTCTTGCGCGCACGCATGAGTTGTTGTAAGAATACTACGCAGTGCAACCCCTTTCCAGATCCTTGGAGGACCAGCGAGTCATCCTTCCTTCCATCTCGTTGCAGAGAGGCCAGCCTGGTATCTTGACTCCAATGTGAATAGAGGAAGACGTGTCTCCAACGCCAACTACACAGGCCGCGCTTGTCATGATATGGCTCCCTGGCTATCGCCTCATCGCATGCCATGACGGCGTTGGCGTCCTACTTTTGTCTTTTACTCGCCGCTTCCAGTACGCCTGGGTATAGGCGTCGTCTCCTGGACCCGCAGCCTGTTGCATATCTGCCCCGGCACAGCAGTTCGATTGGGCACCTCAACCACCAAAGTCTCGGGCTTCAAGACCCAGAAAGGCGACCACTGGAAGACAGCCGTTGTCAACGAGATGGCAAGCAGGGGAAAGCCAAGGCCATGGTCCCTCGACGGATTGCATCCTCTTCCCCGTCTGGACGCCATGAGATGAAGAACCGCCAAGTCAACCGAAAACCACGGGCGAACCTCACCCCTCAGCACCAGAGACGCCCAAACACGGCAGTCCCTCCATGCGAGTAACGAGCGCCCACGAAGGCCGACACCACAAAGCAAGCACCCCACCATGTCAACCGGCCAAAAAAAAAAAAGGCAAGGCGCAGCAAAAGATATCGCGATGCGTGAACTGGGAATCGAACCCAGGGCTCCCCGATGGCAACGGAGAATTTTACCACTAAACCATTCACGCCGTGAAGACCGGAGATGGGACACCTCGGGTGGATGCTCGTCGTGCCCGCGGCGGAGTCTCATGTAGGTAGGTCTGCTCATTTTGTCCCAAATCGGGGGCGGCAGATTTTGTGCGTCTGCGTTGTGGGGCGGCGACCCTCCCTCCCTTTTTGGTCACACTCGCCCGACCTTTACACTTCGGGCGGTCACCTTTGAACTTCGGGCGGTGCATCACGGCACGGTACGGCGCAATGGATGTTTGAGGGGTTGGAGCTATGCTTGGGTTGCGAGTTCAGCTTACCGATGGTCGATCGTGTCCATCTGCAGCTTTGAGATACGGCTCCGCAAAGCGGCTTGTGTTCAGAAATCACGCGCTGCGTACCCATCATAAATCAATACAACATCTACATCCTTTGGTTGGTAGCATGATACAAGTCCAATGAATAACTACGGGCATTATACAGACGCACGAGTTTGACATGGCACCGACAACGACGGACCATAAAAGTGGCAGACAGGCAGCTTGAGTTTTATGCAAAAGAGATCTATATAACACGGGTATCGACACATCAAAGTTCCAATCACCTCTGCTCAGGTGAATACGCCGGCAGCACCTCCTCTCCGCCTGCATGGCCTGCACTGGCCGCAGCTGGCGCGGCCACGGCAGATGGCGCGGCCGTCGACGGGCTGCCGCCGCCAGCTGCCCGTCGCGGTCCGGCCGGGGCCCTCGCAGGCGCGACGGCCCCCCTGGCCACGAGCATCTGCACAATCTCGGGATCCGCGAGAACGGCGACCAGCGCCGCCGGCTTCGCAGCCCCAGCCTTGTTGATGTCCGCTCCCTTCCCAAGCAGCTCCCTGACGAGCTCCGTCTCCCGCATAACCAGCGCCTCCACGAGCGGCGTCTTGCCCTCGGCGTTGGCCTTGTTCGGGTCGGCGCCGTGCTTCAGCAACAGGCGTGCGTTGCCGAGCATGCCCTGCGAGAGGGCGTACAGCAGTGGCGTGTCCTGCCTCCTGAACATGTGGTTCGGGTCGGCGCCGCGTTCGAGAAAGGCACGCAGGAGCGACGTGTTGCCCTTTTCGAGGACGTGACACAGCAGACGCTCGCCCCACGAGTCGTACTGGTTGGGGTCGGCACCCTTGGCGAGGACGGCCGTGGCGAGCTCCGACTCGAACGTGTCCGTGAGCTTGGCGCCCTCGACGAGCTTGCCCAGGAGGGAGCGGCCGACATAGTCCGAGGCATTGGGATTGGCGCCGCGCTCGAGGAGCAGCTTGGCCAGGGCGAGGTTGCGCTTGCCGACGGCAACGTGCAACAGAGAGTTGCCGGTGAGGTTGCTCGCGTTGACATCGGCGCCGTTCTGGAGCAAAAAGTCGACAATGTCGAGGCGGTTCTGGGCGAGGGCCAGGTGCAAAGCCGGCTGGCCCGTAATATCCCTCGCGTTGACATTGCCGCCATACTGCCGCAAAAGGCGCAGGTGGTCGAGACTTCCCGCCTGGAGCGCCTGGATAAAGACAGAGCGGCCGTTGATGGACGTCGTGTTGGGGTCGGCGCCGTGGTCAAGGAACAGCTTGATGATGTCGAGGCTGGCACTGCTGGCGACCTCGATGAAGAACGGCTGCCCCGTCCACGTCGAGCTGTCGCGGATACCGGCCCCAGCATCAATGAGCAGCTCGGCCATGGCCACGTGACCGCACTCGGCGGCATGGAAGAGAGGAGGCTTGCGCTGGCCGCTGTGGGAGTCTCTGAAGTTGAGCTGCGCACCGGCCAAGAGCAGATAGCGCACGGCGGCGGCCTGGTTCGCGCGTGTCGCGCAGATGAGTGCTGTGTATCCGTCTTCATTCTGCCCGTTAATGTTGACACCCTGGGCCACGAACCCCTTGAGGTGGGCGACGTTGCCGTCCTTGGCCGACTCGCACATGGTGATGACCATGGGCTCCGGCTTTGGGCGTAAGCTCGCCGTCATGGCCTTGAACGAGTGCGACAAGGACGAGAAGAAGCCGTCCGTGGCCTTCTGCTTGCCCTTGCTGTCGGATGCCGATGAGTACTCCGGCGGCGGCTGCTCTCGCGACGATGGCGACGGCGAGTGCGCGTCAGCAAGAAGAATGTCCCCCATGCCCAAGACGCGCGCCGAAGCCTCCACAGCCTGATCCAGCAGCGTCCGGCCCTGCAGCGCCACGAACCTCTCTTCCTGGGCAGTTGGGGATCTTGCCGTGTCAGTACATGTCGCACGAATGAGAAGGGGGGGGGGAGGGAGGGAAAAAAAAAATCCAAAGGCAGGTAGGCTCACATGTGAACGACAGCAGCAAGAACGGTAAACAGGCGCATATTCGCTGCATGGCACCGCGCAAACTCCTCGACAAGCTCGACATTGAGCGTCTCGACGTCAAACCCGCCGCCGAGCCGCTCAACCTGCTTTCCGATGACGGCCGACGCGTCGTGACACGGCGGCAGCGCCACCTTGAGGGCGCTCTGCACGGACGGGGAGGGGGACGGATGCGTCGAGGTCTCGGACCCAGGAGCAGGGACAACAGCAGGAACGGCAGCAGAGGCCGGGCCGGCGTGCCGCAGGGCGTCGCGCAGCGTCTCGACGGCCTCGCGCAGCTGGGCGAGGCCGCCGGCGAGGGCGAGGAGGCTCTGCAGACGGTAGCTCTCCGGGTCGACCGTCTTGACGAGGCGGTCGAGCTCGGCGTGGGTCGAGACGACGTGGGTCGTGATGGAGTCGCAGGCGGCGGCGGCGGCGAGGGCGGCGGGGGCACCCGAGCCGGCGGACATGATCATACTGTCTGCGTAGACAACTTTTGGTTGGAGGCGGGGTGGGCGACGTGAAGAGACGGGCTACGAGTAGGGTGTGCAATTGGGCAAGTAAGTGTGCAATGAGCAAGGGCATCAAGGGCACCAATGCTTCTCTTCTCTCTTATGTGGTTGCATGTTGACCATGATGTACTTGGCCCTTTTGCTGCTGCCTGGGCGAGAGCTTCGGCTTGTCCGCAGGAGGGGGGGAAGGAGCCATGGAGGGGAATTAGGCTCCCCTCAATTGACCCTATCGCTCCTGCCTCCCGCATGCCCATCACCTCGAATGCGGGAGGCGGAGTGACGCACTGGGAAAGAGAGACCCAGATCCCCCCCTGGCGGCCTCGAAACGTCACCGTTCATTGGGTGCAGGAACGATCCTTCCAACGGCGCACGCGACGGCCCTCCAATCACGCCCTCGACACACATATCCGAGCCGCGTGGACTCCTTCTGTCGGTTGTCCGTTGACTCTGCTCTTGCTCGACGGACTTGACGGCGACGTAGGGGCTGACATGATCCAAGATGTGATTGCCTCTATCGTAAGGTACTCTGGTGCTCTGTAACTACCTGTGCTAAGGTACTCTCTACTGCGCCGCCCCGCCACATCGTCGCCTCCTCTACCTCCGTGAACTGCTTCCCCATCGATGCAAAGTGGTATCAAGAGAAAAACGCCAAAAGTTCCCAGTCAAAAAGAACCCGCTCTTGCCCCGACGCAATCAACACAGCCGCCCCAACCATCTATCGTCCTGACACTCTTACACGTTGGCTCGACTGGCCCCCGTCGCCCTCATCTCAATCGACGTCTCCTCTCCGCCGCTGTCCTTCGACAGCCACCGCGACGCCTTTTTCTTCTGCTGCTGCTGCTGCTGCTGCTGCTGCTGCTTCTTCTTCACACCTTTGACCTTGCCGAACCCCTTCTCAAACGGGTCGCCCCCGTCCTCGACCTGCGTCACGTCGAGCCGCTGCTGCGACGTGCCTGCCGAACGCGGCATCACGCCCTGGTGGTCCTTGGCCTCAAAGGCCTCGGCGCCGTCGCCCTCCTCCGCGTCGGCGACGGCGACCCCGCGCTTCAGGGCCTTCTTCTCCTCGCGCTCGACTCGCTGCATGAGGTCCACGTCGTGCGGAAAGTACACCCGACGCATCGCGTGCACAAGCAGCTCAAGCACGAGCACGGCCCCGAGCGCCACGAGCACGACGGCCCAAAAGTTGGCCGTGCGCCCAAAGTTGTCAATGAACGCCCGGCGGATCTGGTAGATGCGCAGGCTCTCCTCGAAGATGCCCGATAGGATGAGGTTCCACAAGAACCAGCCGCCGACCGACAGGAATACGCCGAGGAAACTGATGATCGTCTTGGTGTGCATCTCGAGCACCCTGGTTCCTTGTTAGCATCACTGGTCCCCAAAACGCGCAAATGAAAAAAATGGGAACGTACAAAAGCCTGAGATTGATAAACACGACGCACACCGTAAACGGAACCGTGCCCATGGCGTACAGAGACGTGTCCTGGTCAAAGGGCAGCTTGTCATAGACGCCCCAGGTGATGTAGTAAATGACAAACGACTCGGCGATGCCCATGATGGTCCAGCCGAGGTACAGCCACAGGTTGATGGCCGAGCTCCTGTGGCCGTACGAGTAGAGCTCGGGGTACTTGAGCAGCGTCTCGGCGCTGAGATCCTTCTCAAAGGCGCCCAGGAAGATGACGGGCAGCGACGTGAAGAGCGTGTTGAACACGGTCAGACTCCAGTTCTCGTACAGAGAGGTGCCCGTGTAGCCGTTGAACCGCTGGTAGTACGCCTGCGGCAGGAAGAAGACAATCTCCTTCCAGAACGTGGCGAGGATGTACTTGCCCGTGCGGAGGTAGTTCCACCGCCCGTGGACGAAGAGCAACCGCTGCAAGAACCGGAACTGCGCGATTGAGTAGTCCGAAATGCGCGCCGCCTGCAGACCCTCGCGGCCCGAAATGCCAATGCCCACGTGGGAGGCTTGGATCATGCCAATGTCATTAGCACCGTCGCCAATGGCCAGAGTCAGCGACTTGGGAACCTGCCGGCGGATGCGTTTGACGAGGTTGGCCTTCTGCGCCGGCGACGCACGGCAGCAAATGACCGAGTCGACGCGGCCGGCCAAATCGTAAAAGAGGTACGACAGCCCCTCGTCATTGTCGATAGTGCTGAGCGTCTGGCCGTCGACCACGACGACCGTGTGCGGCAGCATGCCACGACCGACCTCGGCAAGCGCGGCCGAAATGGATTCATTGATCGGGCCTGTCGTTGCGTCGAGGATGAAAAGCTCGGAGAATGGCTTGCACAGCCGTGCCGAGTGCGCAATGTTGATGGCTGTCTCCCGCTTGTCGCCCGTCAGCATCCAGACCTTGATCTCGGCCCGCCGCAGCTTGTCAATCGTATCGGGCACGCCCTCTTGCAGCTTGTCCTCGATGGCAGTGACGCCAGCAAGCTCAAACTTCTCCTCGATCAGTTCGCCCGCAGCTTCAATCTTCTCTTGACGGTTGTCGAGGCTCGTTGTTGCCTCGGCGTAGATCGCCCTCCACTTGGTGTACTCGCCTTCGTCAAGGTACCGGAAGCCGTACAGCAACGTGCGCAGACCGTCCCTGGCAAAGTCGTCAATGTGCTGGAACGATCGCTCAAAGATGGTGCCCTCGTTGAGCGCCGCTGACTCGTCCACCAGCCCGTCAAGCGCGTCGTCGTTGCGCGAAAAGGTCGTGCTGGGCCGGGGCGAGTGCATGAGTCCGATGGGGCTCTGCAGCGGAGTGTGGAAGTCCTGGTCCTCCAAGGATCCCCTCCTGGTGCCCCACGGCGACGAGCCTTCGACCAGGGCACTACCCCGCCGGCTGCCCTCGATCGACATGCGGTGGCCGTCCAGGAGGTGACTATGCCGCTTGGACATGGAGGGCCGGCCTAGGGCCATGCTCGTGCGCGGCGTGCTGTTGCTGATCCGCCTCTGCTCCTTGCCCTGCTCCATGCTCCGATGCTTGCTCGCCTTGAGCTCGACGGCACTGGCTTTCTGCATGGCCAGATGGGCCAGCTTCAGCCGCGGCAAAATGATGCTGTCGGCACCCTTGCAGAAGACACAGATGCGGCCGTCAGGCATGCGGATGATGATGGACATGCGCTTACGCTTGCTCGTGAAATCAATGACATCCAAGACCTGATACGTCTCGCGCACGATGTTGCCGTCGGGGCCAGGGAGCTGGAGAATGACCTCCTGGTTAGGTCGGTCGATCATGACGTAGCCCAGGTCGCGCGCAGCTTCAACGAGGGCCTGCTCATCCGGAGACGCAGATTGGTACTCAGTCTGGCCGTCCTTACCAACCTCGGGAATGCAGGTGTGGCAAAGAGCAAGGCACAGCAAAAATTGCTTGGCCTTTTTGGAGTATGGCGTGTTGGGTTTACGGCGGAGGTAGTCGAGCAGCTCCTCCGTCTTGAGTTCAGGGTCGTCTTCGGCGCGCGCGGTCGACGCCTTCCACCTTGTCGAAGACATAGACGGACGGCCCGGCTGGGTCAAGCCTGGGTTCGTTTCCATGGCCTTGCTCTTTTCGGACTTTTGCTTGTCCTTGCCCTTGCGCTTCTTGCGCGCCATGTCGATCAGTTTTTGCTTGGCGTCCTCGTCCCGCTCGACATCCATATCGTGCAGCCACGCCGTGCCGGCCACGCTCATCTTGCGGAAACGCATCACGTTCTCCGTTAACGTGCCGGTCTTGTCGGAAAAGACGTAGTTGACCTGGCCCAAGTCCTCGAGGATGGTTGTTGTGTTGGCCACCATGGGTGTGTTTGTGACGGGGTCGTACATCTCCACATCGCCCATGAGGTAAAACTGGATCACCTTGATGATCTCCAAACTAATATACAGCGACAGTGGAATGAGGGTGTTGAACATGATGATGTACGCAATAAAGACTTCCTTGAAGCTGAGCGTCCTCCCGCCGAGGAACCATGAGTCGTCCTCTTGCGGGTCTCGCCAGATATAATAGCCACCCGTCAGGCCGCCACTGAGGGCGAGAAGCACAAAGACCAGCCAGATGATGCAGCGGTTCGCGACGGATTGCATTCGCGGCGCCTTGGCGTGGACGTGCTTGCTGGCGTTCATGCGAATCTTGCACTCCTCGCCCGTGTTCACGACGAGACCGATCGTCTCGGTCGTGTTGCGAACGACCGAGCCACGGTACACCACGTTGTTCAGCGAAAGTGGCATCGTTTCTTCCTTCATGGTCACGCGGCCGTCGTAGCGGTAGAGGTCGATATTCGGGTCTTCAGACACGACCGTCGCATCGCAGGCTTTCAGTCCCTGGGACGTGCCACACTGCTCGGCCAGCACGGGGAGCGCGCGCTTCGCCTTGAGGTTCGTCTCGCCATCGAGAGCCATCGTCTCGATGTAGGCCACGCTGTGCGGGTTCGTGGCGTGCAGGAGAACTATGTCGGCCGGCACATTCTCGTCTCGTCGAAGGCGCACAATGTCGCCAACCTTGACATCCTGCCACTGCACCAAGGACCAGTCGCCGTCTCGGGCGACCTGCGACTCGGCCATGTCATGCATGGGCAGCTCGTCGCCGCCGTCCTTGCCGCCGCTGTGCTTCTTCGTCTTGTTCTTGACGCGGTGTAGTGCCCTCGTATCCTCGCCGAGCACGAGAACCTCGCTGCGGTTGTCGGCCTTGTCGAGCAGATATCGCCGGTAGTCGTCGTAGCCTTCTTTAGCCATGGACAGTGACACAAAGGCCATCAACGGCGCTATCGTCGTCCAGCGACCCGTTGTGCTCAGTCCAGGAATCATCTGCATGATGGAGATGACGAGGAAGTAGGCGTTGCCGAGCTTGCTGAACTGGAAGATCAGCTGCTTCGGTAAAAAGTCCCAGACGGTGTAGCGGCTCGAACGGATGAAGTTGCCTGTGTACGGTTTCTGGGCACGCTCGTCGGTCAGGAGATCGGCGCGTTTCCTGCCAGGCGTGATGGGGATGTGGCGGCCATCGGCGCTCGGTGGCAGGGGCTTCTGGCGCAAGATGCCCTCGATGACGACTTTTTGGTAGAGCTTGCGAGCCCGGGCCGCGGCGGCATCTCTCCTGTCGAGCCATTGCATGCGTTTCGTCAGGTGAGGCCGCTGGCTGGGGAGGGGCGCTTTGGGTTCGTCGTCGGTGGTCGAGTGGGAGACGGCAACGTCGACGTTCTTGGTGGGATCGCCCGTCATGGTGACTTGACTTCGGCGGTGCGCGGGCGAGTCGGACATGTGCGGTTGCTGGCGAGCGAGATGTTCCTGCAGGCCATCGCTCGAGACGCGAATCTGGGGCGTGGCGACGCCGTCGATAGATTGGGCCCTTCGCATGGGCTCCGTGTTGGCTCGTTCGGCGTGTCGCGGCCGTCGCGATCGCGTATCAGATGTCGTTCCCGTCAGGCTCGACGGGTCGTTGGGATTTGGGCCGTCGTCGTCAATGGTGCTGTAGGAGGAAAAAGCAGGGACCCTTGGGCCGGGTCGGGCCATGATTCAGTAGAAATGTACACGGAAGGGGAGGGGGGCGGGCTGAGCATGGGCCCCGGGGTTGCTGGGAGGCGGGTGGATTGGGTTTCTGGCCGGTGGGCGATCCAGGGAGACGGACCATTCGTCGGCAGACAGGATGAACGGGAGAGCGATTGAGGATTGCAAGAGACTCGGTGCGCGTTCCAGCAATAGATTCGTATCTGTTCTGCTGCGTCCTTTGACCTTGATTCAATTGGCTATGCCTGATACGAAGCCCGGTAGTCCAGGGTACACGCGTGCGCGTAAAGATAGAACAGACTCGAGTCGGGCGGAGCGGAGTTTGTGTCAGGGCAGTCGAAAACGGACGTGACGCCAGGCAGGGAAGAGACAAAAGAGGAGGAGTTTGTCGCATGCAGCGCGGGTATATACAACTTGAGCTATCGATGTAAAGATGGCGGATGAAGCTCTCCAACGGCCACGCAAAGAGGGAAAAGCAACAGCCGTGGAAGGACCAGGGGGGAGCAGGAAAGAAGAGAGAGAGGTGAAAGTAAGGTCCCCGGCGAGAACCACAATAGAAGCTCAGGCGTCTCGTCGTCGCTGCTTCTGGTCTCTGACCCTACCGATTGATCATGGCCGTTGATCTCTTTTGGGTCGTGTCGAGGCCGACGGAGATTCGAGCTGCAAAACTGACGAACTGGAAAGGCTTTGGTGGAGCAGCCTTTCTCGTCATCATCTCCGTAGAAGGCCGGGGGGGGGGGGGGGGGCGGGGCATGAGGAGGCACGGCAGGACCAGCACGGCTGCGGATACCCTCCCAAGGCCCCTCGAGAAGGTGCACTGCCACGATGCACCTGGCCAGCTTGTTGGCACCTGCCGCTCCCCTCATTCGCCCGCCAGGCACACCTGCGCTGCTAGATTGCCTTACCCAGAGCACTAGGCATCCGTTCTATGCAACACGAGAAACCTCTCTCAGCCAGAGCCCAGCCCATGTGCTCTTTGCTCAACCCGCGGCAGACGTCACCAGCGCCCATCACGAAGATGTACGTCGTGGGAAAGCAGAAATGCCATGTCGGGAAAGACGGCTAGGGAACAAACGCTCGTCATCCTCCCTCCATTCCACAACGGCTACCACCAAAACTCGCCAATCTATCGTGCAAGTCCCTCCCCCCCCCCCTGCCCGTGGTGCACCCTTCAAGCATTAAAGTGGTACTTTTTTTCTTTGGCATCAATCCAGAATACAGAAAAGACAAAGAAAAGGGTGGACCAGCTCGCCATCGAGGCTTCCAACCGCCAGGCTTTGCTCACCCCACACACCAGGCACTCGTTCCAATCATGTCGAATCCTTCAGCGCAAGCCCACACCCACCCCCAGCCAGCGCCTTCCGACGGCCCCCTCCTCCTGATAAACTCTCTGAGCGCGAGCCCGTGCGACAACTCTATCGCGGCCCCCTGGTCTCGCCGCCCTTTTCCCCCTTCCCACCGACCCCACAAATCCCCTGATGCTTAGGTGCCCAGGTAGGGTCGCTTGTCAGTCCTCAGCTGCGCGGCCCTCGCTCGCCATCCCGATCGCCCCGGAACCCCGACTTGTGCCAGAAACCTTGGAACTACGGCACCGACACTTCCACCGCTTCCACGCCAGCCGACTGGACTCACCGGGAACGACTGCTTGCATCGGGAGCCACACCCAGTCCTACCAGCCCACTAGACACTTCTGCGCCTCACACCACCACATCATCACGACACGTCAAGAGGGGCTCAGCTGCGTAATGGTATGATGACCAGTGATGCCTATTCCTTTCCCCCTCCCCTACCCTCTCTGTCGCACTCCTGTCTACACTGCCAAAGACGTACGAGCCAGTCTCTTTCGAGGAACGACTCGCTCCGCCCAAACCATGTCATGGACCCCAACGGAACCTCCGGTTTCCCAGACAGCCCCAAGGGACCATGTTATCAGGGAGCCTTCTTCCCCCCCCCCCCTTCCCTACGGTTCACTCTGTACCGCAATACAGGACAAACCAAGCACCTGGGAGATGTATCCGCGTGTTTTTGCTGCATCTCCCGCGAACACCACACTCCGACCCCAATATTACGAACCAAGAAAGTCCCAAGCCACCTGGGCTCTCCCCGTTTCCTCTCCTCGACGGCGCGCGGCCCCGAAACCCATCTGTGATTCATGAACGACGAAACGAAGACCAGTACAAGATTGTAGTAAAGAACAACGCAAAACGAGAAATGGGAATGGGAAAGAGAAGAAGAAAAAAATAAACTGCCCGGAACGACGGCCGGCAAAGAATGACCAAGCATGTGCTCGAACGTGATGTAGCTAGATTACGCGCCATCGCATGCGCGGGGCCGGCGGTTGAAGAAAGCCCCGTAGCGGTTGGTATAAAAGCGCAGCAGTCGCCGAGCTGCCATGCTCCAGAATCGACGGGTCGCGCGGCAGCGCCCCCTCGAGTTCGCGGTAAGATGAAGACGCTGGGATTATGTCCAGCAGATGGAAGCAGACGCGCAAAACTTGGGTAAAAATGTACGATCGCCTGTGCCAGACATGCATAACCGACTTCCGGAAATAGATATCGTCATGCAGATTTCGTCGTGGCCGCTAAAGAGGGTGGGTGGGTGGTCAAGGGAGGATGGGCCAAGAAGCGAATGACCAAGCTTCTTTCTCGTCGATTGTCCAAGCAGGAAAAGTGCACCCCAAATGTGGTATATGAAGCTCCCAAACGCCGGACGCAAAAGCCCCCTTCAGAAAAAGTGTCGCTGTCGACGTTTTATGTACTACCAGTCGCAGCAAATTTGTTGTTGTTGTTCATGCCAGTGCGGCTGGGCTCACTGCTGCTGGATATGGTGCATCGAGTCGGGCGACAGAGAAGAGGGGTCGACGTGGTCAAACTGCACAAGCTGGTTCATGTCGAGCTCAGCCTGGGCCTGATCCATGTGCGAAGGCGAATGGGGGTGCATTGGCAAGTTGATCGTGTGCTTCGAGTACATCTCATTAAGGCTGCCGCCATCCTCAGACACGGCACAGGACGCGTCACCGCCACCGTGATGGCGATAAATGTCAGCAGACGCCGGCCTGCCCAGCATAGACAGGGGCGGCGACTGCTCAACAATGGAGGGCTCGCCATGGCCGTTGAAGGACAGAGGCGAATGCGGCGGCGGGACCATGTTGGAGGGGTTCGCCATCGGCGAGAGGAACGCTCCACCGTATGGCGTGTTGTAGCTAGACGTCGGCAGCGGGCTCGGCTCCGGTCCGGCGAAGTAGCCAGGGCTCGCGAACTCGGATGGAGACGCGGTCGTTGCCGACATGGGATACTGCCGCATCTCCATCCCAAAACCAGCTTGCGTGTCTATCCTCAGGTTGGGACCAAGGCCGCTGGGCTGCTGTGGGACAGGAGCGAAAATATTCGGGTTGTGCGGCTGGGGTGCCGCCTCGCCGGGTTGCTGGATGTAGAACGACGGCATCGGCGTCTGGAGCATGGAGAAGTCAACAGCCATGGGCACAGACCTACTGCGTTGCCTCTTGTGGCCAGGACCACGCATGCCAGGCTGCAGGTGGTTGATGCCCCAGGACTCCTGGAACATGCCGACGTGTGGCTGAGCAAAGTTGGGCTGTGAAGAGGGGCGCGCGGTAGGTGAGACGGGGGCGGAGACGGAGAGAGAGTGGTTCTCGAAGAAGGGGTTCGGGTTGTTGCGGTTCATGAAGGCATCGAGTGAGACCAGCTTGGCGAGCTGACCGCTGAGAACCTTGGGGTTGCCGCCGAGGTGGTGAACCAGACAGTTCGAGGCCTGCTGCTCTTCGGTGAAATCACCGCACTGGAAGAAACCACTCGTGGCGGGCGTCTGGTCCATGAAGAAATGGGGGGGCCTGTTGAGCTCAATGACGATGCCACTGGGCTTGCTGGGGTCGCCCTCCTGGTTCTCGAGGTACATGTTCTTGATGTAAGCGAAAGGGTACTCGATCTTGTACCCGGCCTGATCATTGTTGATGTAGTAGGTCATGGTACACTTGTCAGGTGAGTAGAAGATGATAAGGTCCATGGTGCTCTGCGAGACCCTCGTCCATTTGCCGATGTTGAGAGATCTGCTGCTCAGATGGTGGATCACTGTTAGGTCAGCGGTGCGCGTGCAAGCCTAGCGGTGAGCTACTTCTACTTACAGACTTTGCCGTTCTGCTCGTTACCCATCAGCATGCTAGGGCTGTAGGGCAGAAGGCCGGTCCGACCAAGGTATTGTCCGCCGAGGCCCTTGCCGGCCTCCATGGCCTGCATGGCGAGGTAGTTGCGCATGGACTCGGGAATGCAGTCAAAATCCTCGCCCGTCTCCAAGCTCTTCTTCGCCATGAGCTTGATCTTGGCACGCCTGTGAAGCGCATGTTAGGCTAGCTGATCTCACGACACATAGGGGGGCACCCGAGAGGTACATACCTGTTTTGGAACCAGATCTGCACCGACCTCTCGGTCATGTCAATTTCTTCAGCAATGCGGTCCCTGACCTGAGCCGTGGGCGTGGGGTTCTTGTTGAACTCCATCTCCAGGGTGCCAAGTTGGTCCTGAGTGGCGCGCTGACGCTTCTGGTTCTTCTGCTGCTGTGTGAGGGTGCTCTTGCGCGGAGGGCGCCTGGACTGGCTTGGCTGGCCGTTGCTGGCCGTCGAGGTCGAGGGCGATGGCGTTGAGTTCATCTTGACATTGGACGCGGAGCCCGGCGTGCCATGGTTGTCGAGTGACTGGGAGAGAGGCGTGGGGCACGCGGGCGAGTCGGCGAGAGCAGATGGCTCTCGCTTGACCGGAGTGCCGATATCAACAGCCGCCATTGTGGCTGTCTGATGATGCGAAGGGGTGGATGGAGTTCGCTCCGAAGCGTACGAGAGTGGGAGGCGCGTTCGGTGGCCTTGCTTTGGGGTGGGGTCGACTCGGGCCAAGACGTGTGTCAATCGTCCCGTCGTGAGGCAAGTACGGCGTGTAGGCAGACGGATCAGTGAAGTGCCGTGTCGCCAGCAAAGCGGAGTTGGGTTGGGTTGTATTGTCTCGTTATGTCGTCGTCGATGATGTCGATGTTGGTGGTTCTGAATAATATAGATGGATGCCGTAAGCTAGGGAAAGTAGTGAAAGTTGGGTAGACTAAGGAGTGTCGTCCTGGATCGGGGTCTATCGAAAGGTTTCGAGCGGACGAGGATCGATCAGGGAGGTTTCGTGGTTTGCGAGTTTGGTGGTCCGCGAAGAATGGATGGTTTCTAGCCGGAAAGGAATGTAATGGAGACCCGGAAAGGAGTGACGGGTTCCGGAATGGCAAGGCCGAATATCAAGAGAGTGACAGTGAAAAAAGAAAAAGGAGCGACGAGGGAAGAGGAGAGGGTTAAGTCGTGAACGACGAGGATGACGATGGAGATGGAGGCAAGAGAAGGGGGACGGGCGAGGGGGGATGGAGGTGGACGGGAGCAGGAGGAAAAGGGAAAAAGGAGACTGTGAGCGCGCGGGCACGGGGCGTGGTCGGTAGACGGGGGGTGGGAAGGGTGGCACTACACCGCAGGATGGTCCACTGGGAACACGCCTGCACGCTGTACACCTTACAAGTAAGGTACGGGTGGGCTGGCCTAGCCTGGCAGTTCTGGTAGGCAGGTACCTGGGTAGTCTGGGGACCTGAAAGGGGGTGCGCTGCTGGTACTGGTGCTGATGCTGCGCGTGCTGGTCTGGGTGCTCTGCTGGGTGCCGCGGGCTGGCGAGCTGGGTGGGTTGCAGACAGGAAGCTGCGGGTTGGGAAAACGGACGCACACTGGACGGACAGGACGGAGTGGGCCACACCATCCAGGCATACCCTCACCCTAGCCCACCCACCCAATCCACATGCTGGCCAGCGATTGGACGGCACCACGGGTACCTTACAGCGGTCCAGTGGTCCAGTGGTCCAGTGGGCAGAGTGGGTTCTGATGCCGCCGGGCGCGCCCCTGGTCTGGGCTCGAGATGTTCCTGTTCCTGGCTCTGCTTTTCGTGCTGGACACCGTGAGTCCCCCCCCCCACCCTAGCCAGAAAGGGCCCCGTCCATCGTCCATCCCATTGTCCATCCTGGGTCTTGGACGGACCATTCTCACGACACTCAGGCGGGACACGACCAGGGCAGCGTCCACTCACTGTCGGCCTCCATGCGACAAGGTGGATCCTTTTGGTTCATCGCTCGCGCCTCCCCCATCCTAAGCGTTTTGCCGGAGTCCCTCCCCCCCCATCGCGCTTTGCTTTCTCTGCGTCGTTGTCCACCAACAGGAAGGACCAACAAGCGTCGGAAGGTACTCTAGGACGCCCAGAGCAGTCGGTGACTGATGACGGTACGTTCCTTCCCTTTGGAAGATAGGTAGGTAGGTACCTTGGTCGATGACGACGGCTTACCACCCACCCCGTGTTCCTTCCGCATCCTCATTGCTCGCTCAACCCCTCAATCCTGTTGCGATAAATAGCATCACTCGTCGACAACGGCCTGCCAAGTCGGGTCCCAAAAGTGGTGTGGTGCCATCAACATTCGACGACGTGATTCGAGGAATCTGCATCATCCCTTCTTCCAACTCGGCTTCCCCCATGTGCTCGGGCTGGGGCTGAAGTTCACACTCTATCATCCCATCGTTAGCAGACAGATAGACAGAGTTTTGGGCCTCAATTGGACCCTAGCAGCCCCCACCCGACTGACACCGACACCAAAACTGACACCAACACCGCTCTTCCTCTGATCATTTCCTCATCCTGTCTGCTTCACCACAAACTTCCTGGCTTGTCTGTCTTCCACCGGACACTGTCGCCGAGGACCCCTCCTCGATTCGCGTCCACTCCAAGCCGCCCACCTTCGTTCGCCGTGAACGGCAGGCGCGCAGTGCGTGGTTTGCTGCGACGTCGAAGACCCATGTTGAGTGGCCAATGATGCTCGCGGCCGGGACTGGATCGCTGGATCATGTGGAACAACCCTCCGCAGGATAACCCCTGTTCTCAGAGGGGCCGAGAGGGGGGGGGCCAAGAGGGCAGACCAGACACAACAGAGCGGTGTTGCGCTGTACTGCTCGAGTACCTCGCGCCACATCACGACCAGGGACGCTGTCATGCACAGAGCCGCTGAACGACCCCACGTCTCAAACGGGGCTGCATCTCTGCGACAAGTCTCTCCAGTGTACATTTCGCCCGACAAGCCAAACGGAGTCGGCAGAGAAGACAACACAACACACGGAGGGACAACCCACTCCGTCTGCGAAAACGTCTGGAGAACAGTGTATGTCGGTCGCTTACAGCCAGTCTGGGCAGACGACGTGAGCAAATGGAATCGAGTCAAAGTCCGGATACCCCTGTCCAGGCCGGCTGGCGGCGTCCCTCGCCTTTTTTTTTTGGTTCGTGGGCCTTTGCTGACGCTTGTTGATTGTTGTCATGCAGGCTAATCCCTCGCACTGTCCTTGCAAGCTCAGGCTTCTGTACTTGTTCACGACGATCCAACATCCCTGTCGGCTTTTCTTCCTGTCCCACGACCACGAGCACCCGCCCATCCGCCCCTTCTCCTCCACTGTCCACCATTCGTCGCATGCTACTGTCTCAACATTCAACGAACCCAGCCGGTCGTACTCTGGATCTCTGGGTACACCTACAGATGCCCCATGTCTCGCGGCCTCATGCGAGCCATTGTGGCTTTATCTGAGTCTGGTCGTGTGTCTGTCCTCACGGGTCGTTGGGAATGATCTCGGGCCAGTCGAACAGCCCAAACAGACTCAACAACTCTGGCGGCAAGACGCGATCGTCGCATCCACAAGGTCGTAGCGATGGTGTTGTGGCAAACCACAAGAGCCTCCTTGTCGTGACCAGGGGGTGGACAAGCTGCAGAATTGCACCTGGTCATGCGCCCGCTCCAGACCAACGCCTATCTAAACTTGCGCATTCAGTCTCTACCCCTCGTCCGTACGTGCTTCACGTACAAACAGCGAAAGATGGCTTGGGAGAGAACGGTCGGTTTGCCTTCGCCTGCGGACCTGTTCTGATCTCCTCCGTCCCACGCGCGTGTCGACGCGAACGCCTCTCACTTTCCTCAGCCTTGCTTCTATCACAGAGTCTGACATGACAGCTGGGTCCGCCGAAAGACACAATGGGTGGGCTCCAGGGTCGAGGATTTTTGCGCTGTGAGCTCCAGATGGAGGAGGCTCTTGCACGGCCGGTCTCACGCACGCGGCACGAAGGCTATTGAGGGCTTCAATAGACCTCTCTGTGCCGGTATTTCAGCTGTGCCTCCGAGCAGTTCGTCTCCACTAATTAGTCTTACCTCTCCCTACGGATCTGACAAACGCCGCTCAACGCTCGGGACTATCCTCACAGCGCGCCTCCCCTGATTCAGCGCTTCAGCGACTGTCTATAGTTCGAATCCACAGAGTCTGTCACAAAGAACGGAGTAAGCCGCCCCGGACCCAAGCTATTCTTCCTCGGCCAGACTACCCGTGATTTTTCTTTTACCAGCCCATAGCAAGACGGGTGGAGAGCCAGCCGCTTTTTCTTTGATGCCAAGCTTTTCGGTTACCAGTCCGCCTCACTACTCCGATCTAGACGCACCCAGAGACAGATCCAGCCTTCGACAGCTACATGTACTTCCTTCTACCTGTTGGCACGACTTGGTCTGTGGATCAGTACTCGTGTCTGGCATAGGAAAACGAGCGTTTGAGGCATTGCCATCCAACCCCCATCGCACATCGGTCTGCTTCGTGACCTTGACCAAAAACAATGGCCAATGCCTGCACATTGTGTATATCGCAGGTTTGTCGGAATAGTTGCGGGGGGTGGGGGGTGGTGGCTGGGTTCTCGGACAATAGGCTACCGTCATACATCTGACGATAGCTTCTTCCTCGAAGTCTGTAGCCACGGTTGGCGGCAGACAAGGAGGCCATACGAGTTACAAGGTGCTTCCGTTTATTCTGCTTGGCCATGAGACGGTCACACGGCTGGCGCGCCATAGCGCAGTGTGTTCCTGCAGAAGCGTCATGCAGCTAAACCGACAGCGCCTTGGACACGAGAAACACCAGCGCTGCGGGCGGGTAGGCGCTAACCTCTTTAACCATGACCTCATCCCGACATCCCCGTCGCGTTCAGAACGCGCCGTGGGACAACCCTTCGCAATAACCCAGATCATGTCTCGAACCTGCCAGCATTGGGGCTTTGAAGTATGTAAGGGGTGGGTGCGGATAAGAATTGTTGTGAGCCGGACGGCATCGAACGGCATGCAGGTTTGGCGGATCTGAACTGACTTGCCATTTACCGCCGACTCGGCGCGCCCCCAAAATACATCTGGCCGACAACAAGCGGCCGGACCAGCTGAGGCTGTTGGCATCAGCGCTGTCAAGCCGCCGTCGCGAGCTTTGTTCACGTCGGTCCATATTCCCTCAGTTGGCCACGTTTTCTTAGGAAATGCCACTCAGAAGCGCGCGCCACGTTTGTCTGCAAGTTTTGCCGCAATTTCACCATTGTCGGTGGCTCCCAAAAGGACCAGAGAACACAAGTCATCTCGGAGGGAACACTTGGCCGCTCGATCCGCGGTGGCATCGAGACACCAAGGCCCAGTGCTGGACGTCGTCACTAACACGCAGGAGGAGGAGCAAGGAACGGAAAACTCGTCACACATGAGCACGAGACCGCGCGAGAAACGGCTGACGACAAGAAGGGAAACAGTGTTCGATCTGATCAACACACACTGTCTCTGTGTCTCCGCTTTACCCCTGAACCTTCTGGGTCTATCCCAGTACCTTGCAGCATCGGCCTGCAGCCTCTCTGAGCCAGCCAATGCAACACCAAGTGGCGCTTGCGAGCCACT